CACAACACGGATTTTCAACAAAAGCGTGCGCGCGCGCTCTTGCGTCGTCGTCGTCGTCGTCGTCGCCGTCCTCACTCCTCCCGCGTCGTCGTCGTCGCCTACGTCGTCCTCTGTCTTTTCTCGTGTTCGTCGTCGTCGTCGTCCTCTTTGGCGTCGTGGTCGTTTCCGTCGTCGTTGTCGCCGTGGTCGTCCTTCCTCCTCCTCCCACGTCGTCGTCGTCGTCCGTTGTCGGCGTCTCGTCGTCGTCACTCCTATTTCGTCGCCGTCGTCGTCGTCGTTGTCGTCGTCGTCTTCCCTCCTCCCTCGTCGTTGTCGTCGTCGGCGTCGCCGTCCTTCCTCCTTCGTCGTCGTTCGCGTCGTCGCCGTCCTCCCTCCTCCCTCGTCGTTGTCGTCGTTGTCGTCGTTGTCGCCGCCGTCGTCCTTCCTCCTCCCTCGTCGTCGCCTTCGTTGGCGTCGTCGTCTTCGTCGTCGTCGGCGTCGGCGTCGTTGTCGTCGTCGAAGTCTTCGGAGACGTCGTCGGTGTCGTCCTAGTCGTTGTCGTCGGTGTCGTCGTAGTCGGTCTTAACATGTTTTGCAAAACAGGTTGCGGGTGGGTGGGTGGGATGTTTGCGCGAGCAGTGGAGATGACGACTTCAAGTTCAGCAGAGTGGATTGCACCGCATAGACTGCACCGATAGACTGCATTACATAGGTTGCCCCGCGTAGATTGCACCACAGATATTGCACTGCATAGATTGCACCGCGTAGGTTGTGTTACATAGGTTGCACCACATACATTGCACCACATAATTTGCACCGCATAGACTGCAAGAGCCTACTGTCTATGAGTCACTGCGGATAGCAGTGGAAGCCGTACGGAGACAGAGGAAGCCAGGCGGATAGCAGCAGAAACCATGCGCATAGCAGAGGAAGCCATGCGGATACAGGGGAAGCCATGCGGATAGTAGGTGAAGCCATGCGGATAGCAGAGGAAACCATGCGGATACAGAGGAAGCGATGCGGATGGCGTAGGGAACACTGTGGATAGCAGAGGAAGCCATGCTGATTGTCTGACGATTGCAAGGGCAAAGTAGAGGGTGGTGGTGGTGGTGGTGGTGGACCAGTGCTCGATGCATGGAGCTCGGACTGACTCCTATAGGCAATCTTATTGCCAAGGCCTTACGGCCAGTGCCGCCGACCCTGAAGAGGAACGACGACAAAAGCGGAGGCGGCGACGACAACGACGCTGACGTGGGTCTGAGTCTTCATGGATGCTTCTTGGGGTCTCTTGGAAGCGCTCGGGGGCCTCTTTGGGGCCTCCTGGGAGCCTCTTTGGGGATTCTCGGGGCTTCCTGGGGGCCTCTTGGGGGCCTCTTGGGGCCTCTTGGGGGCCTCTTGGGGGCCTCATGGTTCCTCCTGGGAGCCTCTCAGGGCCAAGGGCTCGAAATGTCCGTTCTGGTCCCTCGTCAGGGCACCCTCTTAGAGTCGTCTTGGGGGCCCGTTGGGTCGTCTCGGAGGCGTCTTGGGCCGTCCTGGGGCCCTCTTGGGCAGTTTTGGGTCCGCCCTGAAGCCCTCGTGGGCCGTCTTGGAGCGCTCTGGAACTTCTTGGGCCGTCTTGGAGCGTCGGAAAGCGGAAGAGGCGAGAACGCCGAAACGCATCAAAAACCAATGGGAAGTCAATGGTTTTTCCTCTCGGGGCCCTCTCGGGAGTGCTCCTGGAGGCCTCTTGGGGCGTCTTGCAGCAGGGCTCTTGGGCCGTCTGGAGGCCATCAAGGCGTCTTGGACAGATCGTTCGGCGATTCGGGGCCCTCTTGGACCGTCTTGGGGTCCTCTTGGGGCACTCTTGGCCCGTCTTGGAGCTTTTTGGGGGTCGGGATCCCCCCGGTGGGGGAGTCATATCTGATCTGGGACCCCCCCCCGGGACCTCCCCCCCTACACTCCTCGGAACTCCCTTTCCCCCTCTCGGCGGGGTTTTCTATGCATGGATGGAACTCAGACTGACTCCCATAGGCAAGATTGCGTAGCACCCCGCAGATGCGGATAAGAGTGAGGGGGCGGCGGAGACGTCGGCAGCCTGCTAGACTCTGGAGAAGCCCGCCGCAGGCGCCAAAGTTTCACACCTTATACAACGAGACCGCAGCAGGCGCCGATATTTTCTCCAAACCAATGTGGATCGGTCGCGGGTGGGTCGCGGGTGGGTCGCGGTGGGCGCGGGTGGGTCGCGGGTGGGTCGCGGGGTTGGGTCGCGGGTGGTCGCGGTGGGTCGCGGGTGGGTCGCGGGTGGGTCGCGGGGTGGGTCGCGGGTGGGTCGCGGGTGGGTCGCGGGGTGGGTCGCGGGTGGGTCGCGGGTTGGGTCGCGGGTGGGTCGCGGGGTGGGTCGCGGGGTGGGTCGCGGGTGGGGTCGCGGGGTGGGTCGCGGGGTGGGTCGCGGGGTGGGTCGCGGGGTGGGTCGCGGGTGGGTCGCGGAGGGGTCGCGGGTGGGTCGCGGGTGGGTCGCGGGTGGGTCGCGCGCGGCGTGGGTTGCGGGTGGGTCGCAACAACAACAACAACATCAACAACAACAACAACAATCAGTTCAAGATTGTTCGCTCTTATTTGCTCGAATGTCCGTTGACGCGTGGTTCCCAAACCCTCGATACCCGCCCTCTCCGTCTTCGATCGTACCCCTTTTGGGGGGTATACTTTTCTTCCCTGCAGGCCGGGCCCCGGCAAGCGGTGGGGCGGCCGCGGACCGTCGGCTTGGCCAGCGGCAGCGCTGATCGGCGGCAACCCGACCCCAAGGGGGACGGACAGGGGACCGACCACGACGACGACGACGACGACGACGTCGTGGACGACGACGGCGACGGCGACGACGACGACGAGCCAAAGCGAGAGCGAGAGAGAGCACGACAGCGGGGCCACGAAAGGCATGAAGTAGGCCACGAAGGGCGACAGCGGGGACACGAAGGGAACGCGTATGGGGCCACGAAGAGCGCGAACGAGCGGGGGCCACGAAGGGCAGATAACACGGCCACGGAAGGCAACGACGGGGCCACTGAGGCAGCAACGGGGCCACGTAGGACAGCGAGGGGCCACAAAGGGCGACAGCGGGGGGCCACGAAGGGCATGCGCATGGGGCCACGACGGGCGCGAACGAGCGGGGGCCACGAAGGGCATGCGTATATAGGGTCGCGGAGGGCAAGGACGGGGCCACTGAGGGCAGCAACGGGGCCACGAAGGGCAGCGATGGGGGCCACGAAGGGCGACAGCGGGGCCACGAAATGCATGCAGATGGGGCCACGACTGGCACGGACGAGCGGGGGCCACGAAGGGCATACATAGATGGGACCGCGAAGGGCAGCGAGGGGCCACGAAGGGCTGCAACGGGGCTACGAAGGGCAGCGATGGGGGCCACGAAAGATTGCAACGGGGCCACGACGGGCAGCCAGGGGGCCACGAAGGGCAGCGAGGGGGCCACAAAGCGCAGCAAGGGGGCCACGAAGGGCTGCAACGGGGCCACGAAGGGCAGCGAGGGGGCCACGAGGGGCTGCAACGGGGCCATGAAGGGCAGCGAGGGGGCCACGAGGGGCTGCAATGGGGCCACGAAGGGCAGCGAGGGGGCCACGAGGGGCTGCAACGGGGCCGCGAACGGCAGCGAGGGGACCACGAAGAGCTGCAACGGGGCCACGAAGGACAGCGAGGGGGCAACGAAGGGCTGCTCCCGATTCCTAAATAGTGTGTGAGGGAGTCATAGGCGTGAGCGCGACTCCTGAACGCCTGAGTGTCGGGAGCGTGGCGCTGGAATAAATTGGAGGAAATTCCAACGCAAGGGCGGTATTCTTGAGTAAATTGCAAGCGCGTCTCCAGTGAGAGCGCGACTCCAGAGCGCCGAGGGAGCGATTCCTGAACAAATTGTAAGGAAATCCCAAGCGAGAGCGCGATTCCTGAATATAACGCGAGGAAGTCTCAGGCGGGAGCGGGGTCCTGGCTAAATTGTGAGGAAGTCTCAAGCGGGAACCGTTGTTGGTGTAACTTGGCGGCCAGGTTCCCAGTTTGAGCTTTAAGACTTTCCATGACAAAAAACATGTGCGAGCGCCGGGAGTGGTGCTTCAATTGCAAAAAACGTATGCACTTGTGTGGGGGGATCAACCGTGATTATTCTTCAGGAGTGAGAGTCCAACAACAACAGCCACAACCACAACCACAACCACAACAACAGCAACAACAACAGCACTAACAACAACGCAACAAACAGAATCCTCACCACGGACTCTCACTTCAGCCACGCACCCAGGGACAATGAATGACCGTTCGGCCCCCTTACTCTGATTTTGATCATCTAACCATGCAATTGTTCACGTCTCGCCCCCCCCCCTCCCAAGGAAGGGTCAACTCAAGTCTAGATGTATCAATTGTTTGGGTCTGTGGTTGGAGGAAGAACTCTTGAGTTAAACAGTTTGGAATGTTGTCGCCGAGAGGTCGAAGTCGTTCGAAACTGTTGTGGCACCGCCTGGCTTGAACATGTTTGCACATATTGAAGATATTCGTATCGCTGGTATGAGTATGTCATAAGACGGCCGACGAGGCTGCCAAGAGGCTTTAAGAGGCTCCGAGCGCGGGTTCAAGATGTCCGCAGAATGTTCCCACATGCCCTCAAGGAGCTGAACATGGTTTCAGAGGGCTGAGGAGGCTCCGAAGAGCAGGCAGAGAGCACCGAAGTGCCCCCAAACATACCAGAAGAGGCCCGAAAGCGGTTCCCATGAGGTCACCAATGCGATCCGAGGAGACCAGATACATCTACCAGCCAGTGGTTTCTCTTCGATCCGCTCAGGGGTGCGTGCCTTCTCGGCCTTGCGAGCGTGTAAGACAGTTCAAGAGGTCCGCCATGGTGGCCTTAGACAGCCGAAGCTCCCCAAGTGGCTCCCGGTGGCTTTCATAATCCCTGAACGTGTCCGCACGATTCCACCTACGGCCTTGAAGAGGGCACCAAGATGTTCTCCAGAGCCAAAGCCTCGCGACCTTTAGAAAACCCTCAAAGAGTCACCTTTCCCTTCCGTAATCGTTCATTTTGGCCCAAGTTCTGTTCTGCCCCAAGTTGCCGAACAGCAGTGGCGCCGTGCCTCGAGTGGAACGCGCTGAGCCCCAGGAGCACCAGCCTCGACCCAGCATGCAACCGTTCAGCCCAGGGGACGATGTCGAGCGTGCTCTCTTCGGGGCTGGCTGCGCTTACCTGCTGCTCGGCGCTTACCTGCTGCTCCGCATGCTGGCGCAGGGGCAGCTGGCGCGCATGGTTGTGCCGCTGAGACGGGCTCGAGGACCTTTCGAGCCTGTCTGGAAAGACGAGGGCATGAACTCCGATGCGCAGCAGGCGGCGCAGGAGCTTCTCCAGAGGACAAGGCTGTCCCTGATCCAGTCGCTGCTTCCCTTTGCCCACTTCGGCAGCATGGTCGCCGTCTCGGCCATGTGGTGGGGGGGCACGCTGCCCACGTCGTTTCTTCAGGACTGCAGCGCGCTCGCAATCTCCACAATCTGGATGGTCCTCTGGAAATTTCCGTCCGCACTCACACGAGGTTCTACCAACTGGCTGTACTCGGCGATGATGGCTATCCTGAGCATCACGGTGTGGCCAGTCGCCGTTTCTGCGGACGCAGTCTTGGTGTACGCCGGTGCCACCTGGGTCATCGCTCTCGGTTTGAGCATTGTGTTCTTGAAGCCATGGCTGAATGCGGTCTGGATCTTCGTCATCACCGCGATATCTTGCTTCACTTTGGTTGTTGGTCGGCGGGACGGTGGCCAGTGTGCCAACGCAGATCCTATTCGAGAGTCGCTGCAACTCACAATAATCGCCGTCGTCACTGTGGTGTGCATGTATGCTTTCGAGCGCTTGTTGTACCAACTAACGCGGCTGGAGCTGGAGGCGCAGTCCTCGCGCAACGAGCTAGCCGCTGCCCAGTCCGTGCTGCGGAGCATTTGCGACGTGGTCGTAGTGGTGGATCACGCGCTACGGCTCAGGGAAGACTCGCCAGGGTTGCGCAACATGCTGCTTCTTAACCAGCGCCGGTCGCTGCGACAGGAGGATCGGGCCAGACGAAAGGGGGGGATAGGGAAAGGGGGGGGGGTTACGGAATCTGCTGCATGCAGCCAGCTTCAGCCCCACCGAGAGGCCCACTCCTCGGTGCATGGCCGCCTCCGACGCTCGGAGGCGCCGGGACAATCAGCTACGTGCGCGAGCTGATTCTCCCCTTTGCTATCCACCCCTGTCGCCCGGCCCGAGAGGACTCAGGAGGGAAAAAAACACGCAGACACAATGAATCGTCGATTCCCCCGAAAATATTGGAAACTATTTGAAGTTGGGGGGGGAGACGAGAACCCCAAAAAAATATATAGGAGAATATGGGGGATTCCTTCTATTTGTGTGTATTCATTTGTGTGTCCTTGGGCCCCTGTGAAGGACGTGCGCAGCTTCCTGGCGTCTGCCGAGGACCGTGCCAAGTTCGACGAGCAGGCGGCGGCGGCCACGGCCGCGGGGCAGCCCGTGGGCGAGCCGCCCCGCCTGAGCGTCGCGTTCCACGTGTCCATGAAGGAGAGCGTTAGGTCGGGCGCGTCCCTCTACAGTCGGGGGCGGAAAAGAGGGGGGTGATGATTAGGGGGGGGTGGATATCATGGCGGGAGCCATGATATCTCGCCAGATGTTATAGCGCCTCTTCTTGTTTCATGACGTCCCTGGGCCCCCCCCCCCTGGGCCGCGCACATGCCGCCGGTCATGATTTGCACCCCCCCCCCTTTTGGACACCCCCCTCTTGGCCGCTCCCGATACAAGAGGAGTATTCAAAAATAGTAAAAATTGCCTGGGGATCTGTTTTTAGTATTTTTTGATGTTTTCTGATCATGTTTGGAGTATGTCTTACTTTTCATCACAGATCTGCCCGTAGAGGGACATGCCCGGCCTAAGGACAGCGCTGGGATCATTCTGGAGGTCGAGGTGTTCGTGGTGGGGTTCCTCAAGGAGAACCAGCAGATGCATCTCGTGGGCATCCGCGAGCAGCAGTCGGGGGAACGTGCGGCGGAGCTCCTGAGGCCTGAGGGCGAGGCGGGGCCACTCCTGACGATCGGCCTGCCCCGTGACGAGGGAGACGAGCGAGTCCGCTCGTCCTCGTCCTTGTCTTCTGCCAGCTCGTCCGCTGGGACCCTCGAGGACGCCACCGTCAGTGCCTGCGTGGATGTGTTGAGCCCAGCATGGAAGTTCGAGCGTGTCACCAGCGCGCTCCAGACGTGCATGAGGCTCTCGGAGGAGGAGGACGGCTTCCTCCCGCTGGTGAAAGACAGCCAGAGGGGACGGCTCATCCCCTTCGTCCAGAGTGCGTACTTTGAGCGCAAGAACGGGATCGCTCCGGCCACCCTCGGGGAGCGCATCTGGCTGCGCTCGGCGTACCTGCGCCGCATGAACCTCTGTCTCTCCGCGTCCTTGCAGCTGGACTGGTGCCCATCCCATCCGCTGGAGGGCGGGAAGATACTGGTTCGCTTGAGCCTCGCCGAGATCAGCTGGGTCCGCAGCAGTCGGCGTAGGCCCCTCGCGGCGGGCGAGTCCCGCCAGACCCCCCGCGTCTTGCGGCAGGCCCCGCGCCCGGACGCCACACCCCGCTCTCTTTAGACCTCCGCTGCTGTCCCGTCCTTCCCGCGCAATCTAGAGATCAGGGTGTGGGGCCTGGCGTTCTATGGTCTGGGGCACAGAGCGCATGACACGGAGTCCATTGAACAAGGCGAGGGAGCGTGAGGAAAAAGGAGGACGGCGGGAAGGGGAGGTGTAGGGCTTGGGGAGAAGGGGGAAGGGGTGGGGATGAGACGGCGCTGTCTGGGGAAGGCTTGCCCGGGCGAACGCGCCCGAGCATGCCCAGGAATCTCCAAAGAACCACCCTGTGCCTATGCACTGCCAGACTGTACCTAACTGACGATGCGTGCAGGCCTACGCGTCCTATGAGCCATATCTCGGCTAATGCTGGATGGTGGAGGCTGATCGGGGACCCAATGATGTGCCCAGTCCAAGCCAAGACGCACATTTCAACGCAATTTATTAAGAGAACATTTGGGAAGCCAGATTTGCCAAATAAGCTGCTTGACCTAATGGGGCCTCCACTGACTTTCTTGGCACGTTCAAGTGCGGTAAAACGTTCGATGCGGCTGCTGGTCAGATGCTGCCCTGTCAGTGGGTATCTTCATCCCTTGACCTGCCTTTTTCTGTACCTCGTCGCCTCTGTCTCTTCAGCTGGCTCCTCTCCCCAGCCACCTCTTGCTATTCCGATCCCCTCCGCGCCAGTTCTGTTTGGCCTGGCGCCGCTCCTCTTCGCTTTCGCGCCGCGTTTTTCTCCGACGCCGTCCTGGCGTTCGCGCCTCTCCTACTTGACGTCGAATGCGCCGCTCCCCAGCTTCTACCGCGGCGCACTCGACGGCCTCAGCCCAGCTGCGACGGGAACGTGGGATGTCATATCAAACAGTTTTGTGGGGTGTGGGGACGGGTGCATCCGGGGTCTGACTCAGCGGGAGGCCACGACTCTGGAGTCTGCAACCGAGCGTGAGCGCCCATGGTTCCTTCTGCCGGCGAGAGCCGCCCTGCACAGTGCGGCCCCCGTCGAGGATCTTCAGGGTGGACAAGGAGCGGCAGAGGAGCACGGGCTCGAGGACGGGGGCCGGAGAATGTAGACAAGACGACCGTTGGCGGGCTCGTTGGCTCGTTGCGCTCCCGCTGTCCGCCCCCTTGCACGCCTCGCACTTGTCGCTGACACGAGGCAGACGCCCTCCTCGAGGCTCGAAGACGTACCGAGTACTGCTTCGGCACCGTGGAGCGGGGGCGCTGCTGATCATCAGTTCCGTCGCAGTCTCGGGGGCGCTCGCTCGTCGCAGCCTGCCAGGGTATCCAGTTGCATCCGGCGAGTGCACCGCCGCGCCTGCGAAGCGCTCTGCGTGGCAACGCGTCGAGCGTCGCCCAGAGGGCCGTCACATGAGACGGCTCTCGTCTCCACTCCGTGAGGAGCTCTCACGAGGCCTATTCGGTCCGTCTTGGGGCTGCCTTGGGCCACCTCTGGAGCAGGCTCGGGGGTCCCTTGGGGCTCTCTTGAGCTGTGCTCGGGCCCTCTTGGGGGCCCTATTGAGCTGTCTCGGGTCTCTCCTGGCCGTCTGGGGTGTCTCTTGGAGCCGTTGTTGGGACATATTGGGTCCTTCCGGAGACCCGCTTGGGTCAGCTTGGGGCTCTGTCAACTGAAGTCATATTCAGACTCACTCAGACTCAGACTCACTAACATTCAGACTCACCCACTCACTCACTCACACACAGACCACTCACACTCATATGCACCCACACTCAATTCAGTCATACTTCAGACTCACTGACAATCAGACCCGCTCACACCCAGATCCGCTGATACTCACACTCGCCCATACCCATTCAGATTCAGACCCGCTCACACTTCAGACTCGCTCCCGCACAGACCCACTCACGCACAGACTGCTCACGCTTACACCTCGACTCAGTGACGCTCAGGTTCTCTTGCTTTCAGAGCCCCGTGCCCATCGCGATGCAGCAGGCGTGGCAGGCACTCGAGCACCCCAACGAGGAGCCGCCACGGAGGGGGATACTTAGACTTGCCCGTTCGCGCCCTGATTGCGGGCATGTCCTGGGCAGTTTGCCTTTTTTGGTGGCCCCAGCTTGTTCCTTTCGAGGCTCCGATGTTCGTCGCGATGCAGAAGGCGTGGCACTTGAGCACCCAAAGGGCGAGCCGCCAGGGAGGGGGACACTTGCCCGCTTGCGCCCAGAATGTGCGGAGGCATCAGGCGGTTTCCTTCTTGGTGGCCCAGACTTGTCCAAGCATTGTGTGTTCTAGCATTCTCTGTTGTGCAATGCATGTTGTGCCACATATTCCTATTCATATATTTGCATTACCCGGACCCCCCCCCACGCCCCACCCTAAACCGACCCCCCCCCCAGGGACGCCCCGGACGCCCTTTCGGACGTCTCGACGCCCCCTGGACGCCCTTGGAAAAGGTCCGCTGGCCCTTCCGGGCCTCCCAGCGCGTCTTGCCGGGCCAAACGAGCAGATTCAAGGCGATCAGAAGGGTCATCGGAAAGGCGCACGAGAGACCCAAGACAGCACAAGAGCGCTCAAAGAAGACCTCGATGGTCTGAAGACGGCCGAAGAGGCCCCCAAGGCACCCCAAGAGGGCGTTAAGAGAGCCCCGAAGAAACCTGAAATCGTCCCAGTCCCTTCGGGAAATTTTTATTTTTGCCATATCCGCTCTTGGGGTCTTCGCAGCGTCCAAGACGGCCCGATGGGCCTCCGAGATCGCCCCAAAATGGCCCAAGAGGTCCCCCAGAGGGTTTGAAGACGGCCCAAGATGGCCCCAAGACTGCCCCAGAGAGCCCCGAGGCTGGCCACAAGAAGCCAAAGATGCCCCCAGAAGGTTCCCAAGAGAGACCCACGAAAACTATGGGAGACCCCCGAAGAAGGCCACTGGAGGCCCCCAAGAGAGCCAGCCCTAGATGGCTTCAGAAGACCTCTGGAGGGCCCCAGCTCCCCAAGACGGCCCAAGAAGGCCCCAGGACGGCCCAAGTGGGCCCCAGGACGGCCCAAGAGAGTTTGAAAAACGCCCAAGCGGCATTCTCCTACGAAGTACATCGAGCTGACCCGAAGATCCTGGTTCCACGCTGGAGGCTCGAAGTTTATTTAGATTCCTCGATCGAGTGAGACAGGTCTCCCCCCCTCCTCCCCCCTTCCGCCTCCTCCGCCCCCCTTCATCCCTGCTCACTTCTCGTTCGCCGTTCATGGACAAGTGCCATCACAACAGTTTGATGCTCCGTCGTTTGCCAGCACTTTCGCGCGCGAAAAAACAGCATTGCTTCCCCACTCCTGCGCACAAGCGTGCAAACGCATCGGGCGAACGCGGTGTCAGCAGACACCAGGGACATCAGAAAAATGAGCCGGTCGCTCGTCCAGGCCTCGAGGCCCCCCTGCTCAAGCAAGCGATGATTTATTGTTTTGCCAGGGAAGCGTCCGGAACAAGGCGCATGGCGCGAAGCGCTGATGCTGTCTTGTATCAGTATCTATGTATAAATCGTGCAATCTATGCGGGGCAATACGTGGAGTTCAACCTACGTCATGAAATGCACGTGGTGAACACGGCACGCAATGGAACAACCGTGGCGCAATTTCTACATGTGCTTGCTAATCCGCTGTTGATACTACTGACACTACTACAGCTGCTACGACGACTACTACTGCTACTGCTACTGCTACTGCTACTGCTACTGCTACTACTACTACTACTACTACTACTACTACGACTACTACTACTACTACTACTACTACTACTCCTATTTCTTCTTCTTTTACTATTACTCCTACTACTACTACTACTACTACTACTACTACTACTACTACTACTACTGCTGCTACTACTACTACTACTACTACTACTACTACTACTACCACGACTATTCCAAATTGTTTTGCAGCTACTACCACTGCTACTAATCATGCTACGACCACAGCTACCTGTACGACGACTACGACTACTACTACTACTACGACTACTGCTACTACTACTAGTACTACTACTACTACTACTACTACTACCACTACGACTACTACCACTACTACTACTACTCCTCCTACTACTACTACTACTACTACTACTACTACTACTATTACTCCTACTCCTACTCCTGCTCCTACTACTACTACTACTACTACTACTACTACTACTACTACTACTACTACTACTACTACTACTACTACTACTACTACTACTACTACTACCACCACGACTAGGGTTTTCCGTTGTCTGTGTTACCATTTTCGAATGAATGTTAAGGGGTCAGGGTTTGTGTTCGGGTTCGGGAAGGCGCCCGCTACTTTTCACAAACAACAGTCAAGTGCATATGCGATATCTGCTATGTTTCTGTAATGCTCATCCTTTTGGAAAGTGGAGCGCTTCTGGAATCAAATCAATCCTTGGTATAGAAGTGTAAGCAGGATCCATCTGGAAAGTGGAGTCCCTCGGACACCGGCAGGATCAAGAACAACCTGCTTATATTGAATTGTAATACGGCTTCCCTTGAATATCTGATTTCTCTTAATTCTGCAGAGAAGCAAAATATTTATATATAATTGTAATACGGATCCTGCTGGAAAGTGGGACTCCTCGGAAACCGGCAGAGCATATTTTTTGATTCGGAAGTATTATACAATCTCCCATGGCAAGTGGAGCTCCCTTTGAGTCGGCAGGAAAGGAATTTGTTATATTGTATCTTAATTCTGATCCTTCTGGAAGGTGGAGCTTCTGTGGATTCGGTAGCAACAACAATTCTTTATATCGAATTGTATTACGGACCCCTCGGATTTCGCCGGGATGTTTTTTGTTATAAATATCATATCTATTCTTATTATTTTTACTATTAGTATTATCATTATTATATATATATATGTATGTATGTCTATATATATATATATATTAGCCTGGCGAAAAAAAAACAACCATAAGCAATTGTTAATACCGCAATTGTGGGCATCATCTTCGGTGGAGCTCCCTATGGGGCCACGAACCGTGTGAGGGGTGCGCCAAAATGGGGCGGGGCCGCCATGCGGACCCTGCCACTGGGGCCTTCGGTGGAGCTCCCTATGGGGCCACGACCGTGTGAGGGGTGCGCCAAAATGGGGCGGGGCCGCCATGCGGACCCTGCCACTGGGGCCTTCGGTGGAGCTCCCTATGGGGCCACGAACCGTGTGAGGGGTGCGCCAAAATGGGGCGGGGCCGCCATGCGGACCCTGCCACTGGGGCCTTCGGTGGAGCTCCCTATGGGGCCACGAACCGTGTGAGGGGTGCGCCAAAATGCGGGGCCGCCATGCGGACCCTGCCACTGGGGCCTTCGGTGGAGCTCCCTATGGGGCCACGAACCGTGTGAGGGGTGCGCCAAAATGGGGCGGGGCCGCCATGCGGACCCTGCCACTGGGGCCTTCGGTGGAGCTCCCTATGGGGCCACGAACCGTGTGAGGGGTGCGCCAAAATGCGGGGCCGCCATGCGGACCCTGCCACTGGGGCCTTCGGTGGAGCTCCCTATGGGGCCACGAACCGTGTGAGGGGCGGGCCAAAATGCGGGGCCGCCATGCGGACCCTGCCACTGGGGCCTTCGGTGGAGCTCCCTATGGGGCCACGAACCGTGTGAGGGGTGCGCCAAAATGCGGGGCCGCCATGCGGACCCTGCCACTGGGGCCTTCGGTGGAGCTCCCTATGGGGCCACGAACCGTGTGAGGGGTGCGCCAAAATGCGGGGCCGCCATGCGGACCCTGCCACTGGGGCCTTCGGTGGAGCTCCCTATGGGGCCACGAACCGTGTGAGGGGTGCGCCAAAATGCGGGGCCGCCATGCGGACCCTGCCACTGGGGCCTTCGGTGGAGCTCCCTATGGGGCCACGAACCGTGTGAGGGGTGCGCCAAAATGCGGGGCCGCCATGCGGACCCTGCCACTGGGGCCTTCGGTGGAGCTCCCTATGGGGCCACGAACCGTGTGAGGGGTGCGCCAAAATGCGGGGCCGCCATGCGGACCCTGCCACTGGGGCCTTCGGTGGAGCTCCCTATGGGGCCACGAACCGTGTGAGGGGTGCGCCAAAATGCGGGGCCGCCATGCGGACCCTGCCACTGGGGCCTTCGGTGGAGCTCCCTATGGGGCCACGAACCGTGTGAGGGGTGCGCCAAAATGCGGGGCCGCCATGCGGACCCTGCCACTGGGGCTTTCGGTGGAGCTCCCTATGGGGCCACGAACCGTGTGAGGGGTGCGCCAAAATGCGGGGCCGCCATGCGGACCCTGCCACTGGGGCCTTCGGTGGAGCTCCCTATGGGGCCACGGAACGCTGAGGGATGTGCCGAGACAGAGACATGCGGAGGGCAGAGGCAAGGGGGAGGGAGGAGGGGGCAGCGGGAGGAAGGAGGAGGAACGCGGGGCACCGTCTCTTCAAAACGAGGACCCAACACCACAGGATGGTTGGTAAAAAGATGTCAGGCGGTTCGTGCTGGAAAAAGGAGCCGTTTGGGATTCGCCAGAGTTGTAAGAAGGATTGTTCAGGACCACGATCCCGATAGGATTTGGAAACCTTCCAATGTTATTCAGAAATGACGCC